TAAGATTCACCAGCGGCGCGTGGAAGAAGTAGTCAACTGCTAGAAGTGAATTTCACAATCAATCTCCATCTGCACGATATCTACCAACCGCGATCAGATGTGACATAAGGCCGAATTTAATGCGGGGTATCCGAACCCGTAGGCTTGACCAAAAATTCCCCGCAGACCCCGTATAAAACGGGGCCGGGTAGCTGTTTCCCGAGACGAGACTCTGCCCTTCGACATAGCCTCGTCTGGAGATCCTCTGTCCGGAGGCACTGAGTTTGACCAGCACAGCTGGAGACTAATCTCCAACTGGAGAACAACATACAGTATTTACTACTGTATCTATGTGAATGGGGACACACCCTTTATCACCCGTGGGTATGCTACAACAGTATAACAATCGTGGAAGTATTTGCTATTACTGTTCGTTTTTTTCTTGGTACCCTTACAATACACAAAAAAGATTATCAATGTCGTCTGTTTTGTTGGGGTGTCTTTGCTTTGGCTACGTCTGTCACGATTAACAAATATGTTGAAAGCATAGACACTCTACGGGATACTTAGTCGGGGTCTGTCTGACTTTGGGCCTGATCTTGCTTTGTTATCTTATAACGATTTTTTTATTGAATAAGTGATACAAAAGTATGTAAACGAAAAACAATGCAGGCAAAAATTAATGACAGATTTTGTGCAAACTCAGACGCACGCTCGCACACGTAGATGCATAGTGTCATATAGGAAAAAAATTCGTAACTACCAACACTAAGGTTCGAACGTGAGACACTTGGCTTATGAATATGTTTTCCGCCAGGTGTATAAATAGCGGTGTCAGGCTGGAAGTGATTATCGAGTGACCATTGACTGTAACTATCTAGTCTAATTAGTGTGAATTACTCTGCGTCGATGATTTGAGTTTTAATTTAGGATTTATCAGACGTTAAGCCGAGCCGCGCTACTAACAAGGTATTCACTGAAATGGTTAATTATCTTTGGTTGACTTTTACTTATTTGTTTATGTTAAGTATTTATTTGCAGTTGTAATTCAATACTGTTTTATCTTGAAATTTTAAGTTATACTTAATCATTAACGGCCACCGTACATTACAAATCGTACATATATGCATACAATGGGAGTAAAAAGGAGACTTCTATTTTATATGAAATTAACAAATGATAGAAGCATTTTGTCCGTGGTTCTGTAGCCGTTGTCCTTGCTAAGAGCTACATGCTTCATTCGCTCGAAGTCATTTTTAACCATTGATTTGAAAAATTGCTTGCATACATTTTAGAGTTTGTATATTTCTGAATGGGTTTGCTGTCATGGATGATATTCAAACTCAATCGAGTTTTTAGGGTAATTTTTTGGTTTTGTAGTAATTTGTGGTGTTTCGCCAAAGTATAGTGGGGAGCTTTGGTTTCGTTTCGTTTCGTTTACGGCATATCAACCTCAGTGGGTTATTTAATGCCGACAAATTTTTTATTGCTGGTAATATTCTTTTCCAAAAATGTATTTCTGGTACTATTTTCTTCAAAAAATGTATTACTGGTAATATTTTTAAAAAATTTATTGTTGGTAATAAAAACTATTTTCATAGTGTTTTGATCCCTGCTTGGGGGTTAAATATTTTCCCATAGCTGGGACCCTAACATGTGCTACCACCCCGTGTCAGACTGGACCTGAGAACACCAATAATTAAGAGGTGGTTAATCGCTCCTCAAATCCTCCTGATCAGAGGCCTTGCTGTTGGATGTAGTTTATCGTCTTGCCCAGGATGCTGATGTAGTTTATCGTCATACCCAGGACGGATACGGGGGTAGCTATGATCACCCTAGTCATGAAAGGACTTGGAACATTAAAAAAGAAGAATGATTTTCTTGTTTAAGGACTGATCTGAAATATCTTTTGCTGTAATCTTCTTTCTTTTTTTGTTTTGTTTTCTTTGTTTTTTTGTCTTACTATTGTTTACCTAATACAAGAGTCAGTTGTGTTAAAAGTGTTTTGTTGAGGAAAACTTGGTCTATACAACGATATTATTATGCTCACCTCATCTGCTTTAATTTCCATCGAAATAAATTGAATGCATTATTTTTCGGAAATTTACTTACATACGTAAGGGCTTTTTGTATGGTGACCATAAATTAGTATTCCTTCTAGATATTTTCGCCGTAATCAGTTGTGTCTTTTTTTATAAGGCTGCATTTTTTTTTTAAATCAAAATTCTGGACTCTTTAGTTTCTATATGTTACTAAGCAATGTCATGTGATGGCAATAAAAGTAATTTACTATCACTATATGCAATAAATACCCACTAAAAACACTATTTTATATCACCAATATTCATAAAGCCTATACTTAAAGAAATGAAAGATGATTCCACATTATTACAATTCCAACATTTCTGATGAAGCTAAATCCGTTGCCAAACATGTCAAATTTATGAAGATTTTCAAAATTGTTCCTTATTTAATAATTGTAGTGTCGGATTTAATCCCTACTTACTTATGTATTGATTTATACACACACACACACACACACACACACACACACACATATATATATATATATATATATATATATATATATATATATATATATATATATATATATCCGAGCCGCTGGCTTATTTCGTATAGAGAAAAACATTAAAATTCCTTTCCTACCGTGCGACGGTGGCCTAGAAGCAAAATATCTGACTGATGTCAAATCAGTTGGGTTTTGATCCCGGCTTGAAGCAATCGGACGTCTAGCCACATTGATGAGCTTTGATAGAGCGAAACAGTCTGTCTGTGAATGACTATATATATATATAAGAGGGAAGCATAATTTTTGTGTAGTTTTTTCCAACTTACAATTTTTCCGCTTGGTGGGAGTAAGGCGTGTAAAGATTGTCCATATTGTTCATTATGCGATGCGCTTTCGGTCACTTTTTTAGCCATTAGTGGTAGGTATTGCTAATGGTTTGATATTTTTTCATTTTCTGACTGTTTTAGATGTATATTTTTGTGTTGTTTTGAATACTAGTAAGATCGTTTAAAGAGAGCTTTCGCATGTTGCAATTCGAGTGAGGCTCTTACTATTTATTTAAACTTTCACCGCACCATTTCCAGTGTTAAATAAGGTGAGGTTGATAATGGAAGAGAGATGTTTAATATAATGGGCCACTCTTATAGCATGATGATTCCAGTAATGCGATTTATATAGAATTTTAGCCTTTTGTGGGTAGATGGACTTTTTTTATAGCACTTTGATCTGATACGTGAGGCATCTACTCAAGCACTTTTATAGCACTTTGATCTGATACGTGAGGCATTTACTCAAGGAGGTGGTAGTGTGTCCGATATAGGTAGTCGATTTATTAAAGAGATACACTCTTTAAAAAAAAACGGGCAGCTTATTATGGTGAAAATAATTCATTAGATTTTCCTTGTCTGTCATTTTTAACCAAAGATGCTTAAAATAAAAATATCTGCCCAAATAATATATATATATATATATATATATATACTCATTTATGTATTTATTTTATATATATATATATATATATATATATATATATATATTCTTTTTAGCGGGGTATATGTGTTTGAGTTGCTATTCCTGTTTTGGGGTTTTTATTAAGCAGTAAAATTAATAACAGCCGGCCTAGACTGAGAAGTCTTACTAAAAAAAATGTAAAGAGTCGAATCAGCGGCCTTTTTTACTATTATAGAAATGGCTTTTTTTTCCGCCCAAACCCGCCGCTACCAGTTTGGGTCACGGAGACCAACCTGAAAGATCAACATTTGAATTGCCTATTTAAAGAAAAGACGTTTTTCTCATTGGGACTTCTACGAATCCAAATCTCCTCGCTTCAGATTCGTACTCGACACGTAAACAACAGTAGATTTTTAAATAATGTTTTTATCCGACATTATTTATTTTTACTTGCTTGGAGCGAAATGACTAAAATAAATAAATGAAATAGACATTTGTCTATTTGTTCTTTTTTCCTCTCCTATCAAAACAGGCAAACAGAGAAACTGAAATCAATCCAATTCTTGATACTAGAATGCTGACATGTCTTTCGCAAAAATAATGAATAGTTGATGAACCTTCTTGTTGACTCCCATATAATCACCATAATCTGGTTGAATGCAATGGCTTCTTTAAAAAGAAATGTTTGCGAAAATACCCGGTAAGCATTATCGAAAACATTTAAGCATAGAATAAAGGATTGTAAAATATTCGCCATTCATCAAAAATAATGGAAAAGCGGCTAGGAATTCTTATTATTTCGGAGAATTGCTTTTTTTAAGGAAAAAGACGTTTTTCTCGTGGGACTTCTACGAATCCAAATCTTCTCGCTTCAGTTTCGTACTCGAAATGTAAACAGTAACTTTTTAAACAATACGTTTTTATCCGACATTATTAATACTTGTTTCGAGTGAAATGATTAAAATAAATAAATGAAGTAGACATTATTTTTAGTGACGATACTTGTTTTAGTTGCTATCCCTGATTTGTTTTTTTTTTGTTTTTTTTTTTTTTAATTTTCTTTAACAGTGAAATTAATATCAACCTGTTTAAAATGAGAAGTCCTACTGGAGGGGTCTCGTCTTGTATAAGAAAAAGTCCTGAATGAAGACAATCTTGACTACAAACGAGCCACCATCCTTCAAGTGAGAAGGATAACTCAGCCTTGTAAAACTCTGTTCCCGCCAACAATCTTTCTGTTTAAGCATGCGGCACTGTCGAGGTGTTGAATTAAGAGAGGAGTCAAGACCTTCATTCTAAATTTGACTTGCGATCACTTTGACACCTGACTCATGGTACACTCTGCACATGTACAGTTGGGGCTTTTTGTACGGAGAAGAGAATTCTTTGCGTTGCACATACAGTTGAAACAATGATTAGTGAAGTTTCTTAGCACACTCATAAAATCATATGATGATGGAGAAATATCTCCAATGGCAGGTGGAGAGTGACAAGTGCCTTTTTTTAATTTTGTACAGAGGTGATAAATGTTAGATGGCCGTCATTCAGGACAACGCCTGGAATTCCTCGATTCTTCCCCGCCTTTCTCATTGAGACATTGCTCCTTAGGGACGACACGGCGCATTGAGATGACAGGAGCATTGAGACATTGCTCCTTACGGACGACACGGCGCATTGAGACGACAGGAGCATTGAGACATTGCTCCTTAGAGACGACACGGTGCATTGAGACGACAAGAGCATTGAGACATTGCTCCTTAGAGACGACACGGTGCATTGAGACGACAGGAGCATTGAGACATTGCTCCTTAGAGACGACACGGCGCATTGAGACGACAGGAGCATTGAGACATTGCTCCTTAGAGACGACACGGTGCATTGAGACGACAGGAGCATTGAGACATTGCTCCTTAGAGACGACACGGCGCATTGAGATGACAGGAGCATTGAGACATTGCTCCTTAGAGACGACACGGCGCATTGAGACGACAGGAGCATTGAGACATTGCTCCTTAGGGACGACACGGCGCATTGAGACGACAGGAGCATTGAGACATTGCCCTTAGAGACGACACGGTGCATTGAGACGACAGGAGCATTGAGACATTGCTCCTTAGAGACGACACGGTGCATTGAGACGACAGGAGCATTGAGACATTGCTCCTTAGAGACGACACGGCGCATTGAGACGACAGGAGCATTGAGACATTGCCCTTAGAGACGACACGGTGCATTGAGACGACAGGAGCATTGAGACATTGCTCTTAGAGACGACACGGCGCATTGAGATGACAGGAGCATTGAGACATTGCTCCTTAGAGACGAGACACGGCGCATTGAGACGACAGGAGCATTGAGACATTGCTCCTTAGGGACGACACGGCGCATTGAGATGACAGGAGCATTGAGACATTGCTCCTTAGAGACGACACGGCGCATTGAGACGACAGGAGCATTGAGACATTGCTCCTTAGGGACGACACGGCGCATTGAGACGACAGGAGCATTGAGACATTGCTCCTTAGAGACGACACGGTGCATTGAGACGACAGGAGCATTGAGACATTGCTCCTTAGAGACGACACGGTGCATTGAGACGACAGAAGCATTGAGACATTGCTCCTTAGAGACGACACGGCGCTCCAGTAGGTGAAGTGGCATCTAGAAATATGGCCTTAATATTGGATGCTCGAAAGCATCCTCTTGTCATTAATTACAAGTGACTGAGCATCCACACAATGGACAAGTATGCGTATATATATATATATATATATATATATATATATATATATATATATATATATATAGTAGTGAAAGAGATAATCACCTACCTCGAAAAAGAGTTCGTGTTTTTTCTGCGATCTGCCGAAGAAAATTACCAAAAGTAGTTAGCAAAAATCTACTACTTTAGTAACAGAATCTATGCTAATATTCTTTCCTCCCCTGAATGGCGTGGCCAATTATAAAAATATCTCGGTGAATAAAAGCCGTTGTTCTTTCGCTTACGCGGATATTATTCTGAGCTTGATGAACGAATATGCGTTTTTTGCTGGTGAGAAGTGGCCCCAATTTGTCGTTTCTACGTTGCCTGTTGAACTGTTACGATGGACTATCGTTTGAACTGTGATTTGGCTACAATATATATATATATATATATATATATATATATATATATATATATATATATATATATGCCAAAATTGCTGGTTCGGTTTCCGTGGTTTACTGGTGGAAAGACATATTAGGTAGACAAGTTTTTTGTCATAAAGTGCTCCATATTAAAAGGTAAAGATAGAGTGTAAATAGAATTAATGCAGAGAAACTTATATATATATATATATATATTCCTTTATTTTAATCAATTCCTCCTAAGCAAGGCGATAAAAAATAGGTGTAGGATGGGGAGGCACGGTGGAATAATGATTAGCAACTCAGATTGTGGAATCAGAGAACCGAGTTCGAATTCCAGTCGAATTCATTGCATTCCTTTACGTACCTTGGGAAAGGTATGAATCCATCTCTTTGGCTAAAATAGAATTATAGACTGGATAGCCTTGTGTGGTAACCATTTTAAGAGAAGGAGCCTGTGAATTCAAACTGGATCGCACTATCCTAAAAGTGTGCATTGGGGACCGTTTGTGAATCACTGAAACTCCTCCTATGGATTTGCACGTCAGAAAGAATACGACCTCTGCTACGCTTGGTCAGCTTGTCTTCGAATACGGTGGGTTCGTTTGACGTAGCTGGGTCAACCAACCGGATGAATGCAGCAACAGGTACAGTTACATGTAAGCAAGGCGATAACGCCACTAAAACACAAGGGGCTACGGAGAGTGAAAGAGAAAAAACCGGAAACCCAATCCTAAACATGAGACAAGAAATAAACCTATACTCCTGTTGAAAAAAATATGTAATATTCAAATTTTTACAGATGACGTAAACTAGTATTATGCGTTCATTTTCCAATATTTGTTAAATTTATCATGCAGACAGCCACTAATGGGCGCGTGGCCAAGTGGTTACAACGTTCGCTTTCCAATCACAAGATACGTGTTCGAATCTCAATATTCGATTTGTTGATGGAAGAGGCGATGCCAATGTGCGGGACTTATGGAAAGTGCTTGAAAACCATACCGCACGGGTTAACCCAAGCCTTGTGAGGGGACGGAATTGTTCGTCGATGCTTGTGCTAGCATGAATTCATTGTGACAGAGGGTATGAACCTACTGGACTTGTTCAAACTATTGATCACCACAGATAATGCGGTCTCTAACAGAAACTGTAACTAAGGTTCGCTCAGGAGAGTTGCAGTAGAAACAACAGGTGGACCCTATGGGTGCTGAAAAAACAGAAAATGTGCACGTTCAGCCTGACTGTTAGCCGCCCACGTAGACAGATATTGTCGGATACGAGAGACCAGCCATTTACATGCACTAAAAACCCAATTTTTAATACATATTTTCGTTAACATTGCAAGTGTTAAACATAAACACAAAGATGGTAAGGTATACACATGACGTTTGCACAACCAAACAATAAAAATGCTTATTGAATCGTGAAATTATAAGATATTGTAAATCCGGTGGGAGGAACATCAATAATTACTAGAATTTCGAGACAGAAAACATTTAACGTAGCTGCCATATTTGAGACCAGACTATCAAAAGTAAAGAAGTAATCAGGTATTTTCTTTTTAAATCATATCATCCAAAGCAAGGCAATAATTGCACTAAGACGCAATGGGTTACTGAGTATGAAATAATACGAGAAAAAGAAAAACTTTAAGGAGAGAGAACAATAAAAGAACAGAAATTAAGAAGAAAGAAGTTAACGATTGACATTGCATTTAAATTGTTGAAGATCAAAGTTGGTCAGAAAGCAAGAAATCAGAAGATAGTTCCACAAGCAAGAAGTGCAAAAGAAGAACCTGTTAGCATAGAACTCACGGTTCCACCTAGCCATTTCACCTGTAAAAGTTAGCTGCCAATCTAGTACCGCGCTTAAATAACTAATCTAGATACCAAGAAGGAAAGTTTATCAGCACAATTACCATGAAAATATTTATAGAAAAAGGCTCACGATACGGTTTGAAACTAAGTGAAGGCCAGGTCGGATAAAATTGCAGATTCTTCTTTGGAATTTATCAAGAATAACGAAAGACATGGCAGAAACAAACAGACCAAATGTGTTATCTATATTGAATGCAGGGACGAATGCTTCACAAATAGACTGGAACCTCTATCTTAACAAAAGTTTCTCTTTTCGTATCTAAAACGATACAACAGTTACGCATCCATTTTGTGTTGTTATATTCCTATAGTAGGCTGCTTTTAATTCTAGTCTTCAAGAAATACTGTGAAAAGCCAAATTGTATACTAAATGACTTCAACGCTTACCTAGATAATGATCATGTCTCCCGACCAAATTTGCTAGGAAAATTCTAATGGCTTTCTATTGTTGCCTCTCTGCAATGAGTTTCATCTCCTTGTGACAAATGCAGTTTTTCAGCACGCAAAGCACCTTAAGACTATCTAGACGCATTCTAAATCAAGTTATTACCGTATGATTGATTATATAATCGTTCGTCATTGTGACAGACAGGAAGTAAACTCGTTCGCACGTAATCGAGGTGTGTTTGTCAGACGACAAAGTCGGTATATCTCATATCAATATGCATGTGAGAAAGGACATTCGTAAGAATTGCAGAAAGATTGACGTCAGTAAATTGAAGAACAAAACATACTTTAATTCTTTGTCTGTTCACATCGGGAAGGAGATCGAATCGATACGGGCAGTCATTAGGTATTCAAGGTATAACTCTGTAAAGAAACAAAGAACTACGTTTAGCGTAAAAAGCTGGATCGTTTTGATTCCAATGAGCCTTATTACTGTACAGATGCTGTAAGATCATGATGTCTGGAAAAACATATAATTCTAAAGGAACCCCATCTCTATAGAGCTCTTTCAGTTACCAGCATGCTGAATGGGACTCATTCAAGGATTTTCTTCATGACGCCCCTTGGGACTGACATCTTCACCATCTCAATTGAAAATTGCACCACTGAGGTATCTACTTGGGTCAAAGCCGGTATGGATATTTCTTGGAAATCCTAGGTGAAACCACAATCCTCTCCATGATTCACACCAGCATGTTCGGCTTCCGGCACGTGACAGCTCTCGACATAACAGGTGCCTATTCGCTACTGCTCGTAATAAATGTAAGCGAGTTCCCGAAGGAGCTAAGCACCTGTTTGCCGAGAGAATGAGGCACCGTATAGTCTCTAACAAATTTGGTTCTCACGATTAATGGCGTCTCTGTAATAGGTTACAAAATAAGTGCAAGGTTTCTATCCCCACCTCTTCAATCAATTTGAGGTGTTAACACCTGCTGAGAAAGCTGAATGCTTTGCCTGCAAATTCTCAAACTCTACTCTTGACTCATCTGGAGTAACCCTGCCTAACTTCCCTCCTAGAACTGAGTCTCTGTTGAGAGATATGCATATAACCCCCTTCCATGGTTTCTGTTGCCATCTCTTATCTTGATCCCCACAAAATATATGGATCCGATGATATCCCTGTAATTGTCATTAAGTAATTTGTTACCGAACTGGCTCCTGTTTTCTCTAAACTATATAATAAATGACTCGCTGCCTCCTGCTTTCTTGCCTGCTGGAAGTTACCGTCTGTTGTTCCACTTTTTAAGAACTTCTGGTGAACTGTCCAACCCATCCAACTATCGGCCTATTAGTTTTGTGACTCTTTTTAAGAAACTCCTAGAAGCCCTAATCAATGCTGAATTGGTTCATCATTTCTCATCACAGGGCCTTTTCTCAGACAAGCAATATGGCTTTCGTTTCTCCAGGTCAACTGCTGAAGTACTGATAATAAATACGAAAGATTTTATCATGTTCTAAATAAAAACAGTGAAGCCCGGGCTGTAGCATTGGATATCTTGAAAGCTTTTGACAGGTTCTAGTATTCAGGTATTCTACACAAGCTGAAAAGTTACGGCATCTCCGAGGACATTTTTGA